GGAAAGCTCGCCGCGTGGCCAAAAATTAAAAAATTAGTGGGGGTAAAAGAACCCCAAGGGATAAACTTTGGAAAGGACAAGAGAACTTTGAGCAAGAAGGATTTGGGGAAAAGAGTCTTTGTTCCCTCTGATCCCAATTTGCCTTTGTTCGATCAATGGTTGGACAACACTGTGGCGCCGCTTATCGATGTGGTTTCCATGCTGCCAGAGGAGCTCGCCGCGGGTCAGGTTGAGTTTTATGATGGACAATATGAGTTTTTTGATGAACAATGTGAGGACTACGAATACCACAATGGACTTGCCCCTACTTCTATTCAAAGCGAGGCAAATTTTGGCATTCGTGAGAAACTCAGCCGGAGTCGCTTCAAGATGACAATTGGCATCAAGACGGTTCTTAGAAAGACTCCAAAATGGCCCCAGAAGTTCCGGGCTGCTATCAAGGATGGAAATGGCTGGCGCTCTTTTTTTCCTGACAGATACTTGCCAAAGCCCCGAGATTGGAGCGAGTTCTTTTCTGATGACGGAAGATCAAATTATGATCTGGAGTGGCCCTATGATTTCAATCCGGTAATCTACTACCATGTCGAGAATTTCTTGAAGGCCAGCAAAAATCGGGCTACCGAGTCGGGGAGTATTGACTTGGTGGAATCAAAGGAAGAGAGCTTGGAAAAGGCAGAAGGCACTCAACCTCAAACTGGAATTCAGGGTAAACACGAGGTCACTCAGGGCTCCCCTTGCAATTCTGAACAAACGGCAATCCCCATTATTCAAGGAGCAAATTTGGGAATTGATGAAGGGGCAAGCATAAAGACTTTTGCAGATGTCGAGTCAAATGGAGACCCTGGTTTCTGTGCTTCAGGTATAATCTTCTCCAATGAATGGGCCTCTTCTGATGGAGCTGTTTCATTAAAAAGTGGGAAGCTTTCTGCTCATGAATTTCTGCCAAAGGAATTCAGGCTCAGAAGCAGGGGAAGTCTTCTTGAAGGAAACGACTCTAGTGTGATTCTTTCACCCCTCAATTCAGGGATGTCCTTAATTTCTCCTTTTCTAGACGAGAATTTGGACACCAAAAGCTTGGGGACAGAAAGATCATTTTCCCCTATGAAAACTTTGGATGGCAAGACACCAGAGGAGCCATTGATCCCAAAAGCTGCCGACAGCTTGCCAAAATCCAAGGGAGACGAGGAACTTGGCGCTATCAAAGGGCCATCAAAGACGTTAACTCTTTTTTCAAAGATGTTTTCTCTGAAAGCTGATGTGGTTTCTGACAAGGCGGAACAAAAGGATGGAGATGTGATCAGTCCGTCGGTCAAGTCTCAGATCCCCAATACTGACACCACGCCTACGGGAACAAGCCATCTTAACTCAAAAGAACATGAGTCGGTGGCCAAGGAAAACAGGCAAGCTGATAATTGCTATTCAAGTATCATCGCTGGTGTTCTGAGCTCGAGCGATCCTGTCCTCAGAAGCTTGATTTTCGAAAATGTGGATAAAAGTGAGGTTATTGAGGCAATCTATACTAAACCAATCCATCTTGTTCGCAAGTCTGGCCCGCAGGTTGCTAATGGTATAGTTCAACGGTATGTTGAAAATATCAAAGCAGGCGAGCTTGAAGCTCCTAACAATAATACCATTGCCGGGAATGACTTTGACAGAGAGACTGGTGAGTCTTGCTTTTCTGGAAATGGTATTTCAGGAAAGGACACCGACTTGCCTGAAAACTTTAGTTCCCTCGAAATTTCGAAGAACATTGAGAAGGTTCAGGCCACCAATGAGCTCAACAAACCACAATCAGCTTTCGTGGGTGCTTCTCAATTGGAGAACGTTTCTGATCTTGGGTTTAAAGCCATTGAGTCGAACAACAAGCATAAAGAAAGCTTTTCCAATGCCGAAGAAAGAAGAAGCCTCGGGGATGTTTCTTCCAAGAAGTTGGCAAAAGAGTCCAACGGCTATGTTGATGTTCCTAGAAGTGAGACTTTTGATTTCAAAACGGACGAAAAATCTTTCAAGAATGTTCTGACTCTTGTTTTGGACCATGCCGTGCCTGAAACATTGAATACAACGAAGCCTGCTCCGAAAATCTCAAAATTGAGCTGCGCGTCGTCGCCACAAGTTCAGGATTCAGAAATGGTAAAATCTTATGCTTGTGAAAGTGAAAAGGCTACAACGCAATCACCCAAAAGTGGTTCTGAGCCAAATTTCGGAACATTGAGATCTTTGGCCTTGCCCAAAAAACGTCAATGGAATGATTTTCCTTCTGATTCAGAAAAACTTTTGATTACTTCAGAGTCAGGTACTTTGAGACCAACTTTAAAAGAAAGGGCCCCGAAAAAATTGAATGCCATTATCAACATTGTTCCCTCGGACCCAGGTCTGCCTAGTGATGTTTCCTCTTCTTCGAAACGAGCTGAGGGCAGTGGAGTGGAATCCGAAAAAAGATTACCTTTGAGTCCTCTGATTAATTTCCAGAGTATGTCTCTATGGCAGACTCTTTTTCCAGGTGATGAAATGAGACCTGGAGGGGTGGATCTTTTTGAAGGTGACGTTGCAATTATTTGCGAGGCCACGCGTGATATGCCCGCCATGAGCGACATCCATCTCTTGGTTTCCCAAGATGAAATCAATTCAGCCCCGGCCAAGAAGAATGAATTTGATGCTGGGCAGCTTGAAAAGATTTTCAGCGAAGAAAAAAACAAGAGTTTGGAGAGTGACTTGTGGAAGAAGTTGGACATTTGTAGGGCAGCTATGAGCAGCTTCAAAGGCCAGTACGACTTGAAAAAAATCAAAAAGTTGATTTTTCAATTTTCTGAATGCTTCAGGTTTACCAGGGAACATTTTTCTGACGTTCCTAGAACACAGTTCAATGAATATGCTGGCTGGTTGACTGGGATCAAAACAAATATTGACTCAGCTTTTCATCTCGTTTGCACAGCTGGCATTATGACTGGAAATGTCATCCGCACCATCAAAGAGTGCGATGCCTCGGAAGAGATTTTAGATAAAACAGAGAAGGATTTGAGTCAAGCTTTAGCTCTCATTCCTGAAGCTTTCATGCTCTTGGACGAAATTCAAGATGCGATTTATCTGATGAAACAGGCTTTCCCTGCTTTTGTTTCAACCATGGTGAGTAAAATTCAAATTGCGATGATTAGCAGCTTGGAAATCTCAGACACATACAATGATCTCTGCACGATCCATTTGAAGAAGACTGTTGACAAAGTAGCGCTTCATGAGCAAAGCGGATACAACAGTTTTGTTGAAAACATTGAGTGGTGGGATGCGAGAAAGAATGTTGACTACGAATCCATTCTTGTGGCCCCTTTAAACGATTTGCTCAAGGCTCACAACATTGTGGACGGTTGCCGTGGAGGGGTCGAGAAATTGATTAAAGACATTATACCTAAAATTGCTGATTTGAAAGCTAATGTTTAAAGAAAAAAAACG